AAATAAGTTATTTGACATATATATATAATATAAAGAGAGAGAGAGAGAGAGAGAGAGAGAGAGAGAGAGAGAGAGATTGAATAGTAATCTATCTTGTTCAATCATATCTTATTCATATTATAACACTCTTATTTATATAAGAGAGGGTACATAATGATGAAATTATATTTTTTCCCAGACTTTTAAAGGGTTTGTATTGGGTGTTTCTGATATTTTACGTGTGTGATCCTCGACCATTATATATTCTCAAGATCAACATTGACACATTTTTATGTACATTATTAGATTTTTTTCATGAAATTCATTATACATATTTATAAACATATCATATCTTTATCTCACATGTTAAGAACTTAGATTATATTGATTTAAAGTATTGAAATATCCTTAGAAATTCCACAAGATAGGTCATTTTTATAAGCCCATTTTATGTGTAGATGGGACATTTTTATAGTTTCATTGGAGTGTTATTTTGATTATTTTAGTTGAAATATTTGAACTTCCATTGAACAACCTAAGTTGATTTTTTTTTATCATACACAATATTTTAGCCATTTAAACGTTTTATTGAATCAAGTGATCTTTGATTTGATCGATTCATTTCATTGAGATGTTTATTTTTCACAAAAAATATATAATATTTTAAATCAACTATTTGCTCAAATAGAATCACTATATTTTCAAATACTCTTGATGTATTTATATTATTTTGGACTCACTTTGTGGTGTTTTGTTTTCACTGGTTTCTTCTCAACGACATGATTTCTTCCAAAATAGTTTAGCTAAGAATGAAATTTGAATATTTTTTAAATCAATTTTGATAATTTTTATTCATGTACTTGAATTAAAATTCAAGTTTGAATGAATTAATGAATTTTTCTAAGTGATACATAAATATGTACTATACTCATCCCAAAATTAATTTAATAATTTAAAGATGTATTCAGATCAAGCTTTAATTATACTATCATGACTAAAAATATATATTTTTAAACTATAACAAAATAGATTTTTTTTTTATTTCTTAAACCCTTATTTCATAAGTTATTTCAAATTGCTGCCCTAAAATTGGAATTGAAAGCATACGGAAATATTATGCTATATGTGTGTGTGTGTGTGTGTGTGTGTGTGTGTGTGTGTTTGTAGTGGTGGTTTTGGAGGTGATATTGGTTGTGGCGTGGTGTGTGTGGTTGTTTGTTTGTGTGTGGGTGTGCGCGCTGCAAGCCGTGGCTTGTTGGTTGGCGGGTTTCATTGTAGGTCCTCTCAGGTCACTAATTCGATCTACATTGCGCTTGATTCTCAAATATTTAGGCACATGGCGTGGGCTCTCATCATGGGGCCTTGCGCATAAGAAATCAGTATTTGGGCCACTGCCAAATACTGATTTTCTTTTAATATATGAGTTTTGAGTGAGTG